CCCCTCCTGTCCTGCACATCTGCTTGTGCTTCATCACAGCTATGGGGGGGGAATTCCAGGAGGAGGGGATCACCCTGTACATCTGCCTGTTTTCCAGAGAGTACGCAGAGCACGACGTCGGCCCCCAGCGACCTGCAGGCTGGCCAGCCGCAAGCCCTCCACTACGCTTTGGCCAACGCCCAGCAGGTCCAGATCCACCAGATCGGAGAAGACGGGCAGGTCCAAGTGGTAGGTCTTCTTCCCTCTTCCCTCTCCCGTTCCCCAGAGCCGAGGCCTTCCCTTTGGCATCCCGGCAGGGTCGGCCCAGCCTCCTCTTGCTTCCAAAACCTGTGGTGTTCTTGATGGTGCTTGAGCGTGTCCGTGTGGGAAAAAACAAGGATTTTTGGAGCAGGATGTACACCTGCATGCCCAGTGGAGATCCACCGTGGGCATGAATAATGACTGTAATTTGGCATTGCGTGGAGGGACTGGCCTGCAAATGGCAGCTTCTGTGGTTTTCCAGTTGTGCTGTTTGCAGGCATGGTGGGATCACAGGGGTGTGTGTGTGTCTCACACTCCACACTCCCCCCCCCGCCAGCCTACAGCCTGCTGTGGCACCAGCAGTCTGGAAACCCCCCAAAGTATGTCTTGAAGTGTGTTTTTTGACATCTGTTCCCTGAATTCATTACATGTGTATCCATTTAAATCCATATATATAAGCAAAGCTTATAAACATTGACATTACAGTCTTTTTTTCCAAAAAGTCTAAATAAAGTTAACACTTTGGCCCGAAAACCCACAGGATGCAAGAAGTTTAGAAGTTAAGCGAGGCCCTCGTGCCTTTCTGCGGGCTTTTGTGTTGCATGAAACGATGGCCTTCCTGGGCCACAGGAGAGTTGGAACTGGCTTCTATTGCTTTATTTCATTTCATTACAACACAGGGCAATGTTTCAGGGAACTTCCGCACCCAAGAAAATGGCGAAATGAAGCAAAAGGATTCAAAAGGACAAATGAACATTGAAAAATCATCAGCCACAGGCTCGTTCTGTCCCATTTCCATGTGTGAGGGTTTGGGTTTTATAATTTTTATTTTGTATTGTTATTTTTTATATGGCAGTTTGTATGCTTTTTGTACAGGCAGGAAGGTATTTTATTTTTCCTGAATTCACCATTTCCCTCAATCACTTGATCCTTTTTTTAAAAAGGCATCAGGGTGCACATTTCCTTTCTTTTAAGGGTTGAGTGTGTCTTGGGCTCTCCTGAAGAAAACTTTTCCCTTAATATAATTTTTTTTCTCCCAGAACTCACATTTATGTGTATTTCTTTTGTATGCAAGTTCTCCTGGTGTATACAGAGTTTTTAAAAAGAAAACTGTGCATTTTTTCAAATTCAATAACTTTTTTTTAAAACGGGAGATCATAACTTTCAGACGTGCTCCAAAATGGAAGGATAATTGCATTCTTGTTCGCTTATTCAGTCAGAAAATGCAAATTCATTTAGTTTTTTGGTATCAAAATACAAAATGAATGAATCTCTCTGTCAACTCGAGTTGCACATACAAATAGATTCCTTGGGGAAAGGCGGCCCCTTTCTGACCCATTTGAGAAATGGTACCATCCCCCCACCTAGCCAGCCACCCTTCCTACACCAGCCATCTCATTGTCTGCCAAGTGTATACAACTTGATTCACCAGGAAAAACCAGGTGGCACTCTAGTCTTCTTCCCAAGATTAAATATTTAAATATTCCATTCCTGTGGAATAGTTGCATGGGAGTGCCAGCCTTTTCGGAAGAGCAAAACACAGTCTTACTAACATTAATATAAATAAAAGTGTGATGCACAAGAGCTAAGCGTAGCACTTCCCATTTAATTTTTACAGTTTTGAATAACTGCCAGTTCTGCTCACAAATACACTGTGGGGATTTTTTTATTTTTTATTTTTTTTAAATTCTGCTCCTGCTCATTTGCCGAAGGAAGCCACCCTGCCAAGTTCGTGGTCCTTTGTGTGAGTGGCCAGGGTGGAATGGCAGGAGGACTTGGCTTTTCTCACTGCCTCTGAAAGGGTTTCCTTGACTTACAAACACCCTAATCAGATTTTCAAATGCCCACGTGTTGAAGACTTTCCCCCTCGAAGCCTGCGAGGGTCTCACAGAGTGAAGGGAAGGCGATGCTAATCTCGTCACGGATTGGATCTGCAGGCTAATTTTATACACAGTTCCTCTTGTCGTTTTGATACTTTCGGCATGCCACTTTCCCCTATAAATAGATAGTTTCCTTCCAAAGGAAATGAAACTGTTTGAAATAGAAGGATCGGTGTTCCTTTGAAACGCGTGGGCAATTGTTGGTGTACTGTAATAGAAGGAGGGCCTTTGACGGAATTCCACACAGATATCTTTAATCTCGGTTTCATACACAAGCAATATGAAAATGAACACAAAAGGCTTTTTAAAACACACACACACACAAAGTAGCAGCCAGTTTGCCAGGAGGTAAATGGGTCTCGCAAAGGGCCAGTCAGGATTCACAAGGAAGTTTCCTTTGTTTTAGTTAATCAAATTTTCCTTTCTTTTCTGGTTTTATCAAGCAATATACACTTGGTTTCTTCCCCCCTCCCCATGGTACTTATACAGGTACAGCAGTGATTTCTTAAATTAAAGCTCTTCAGGCTAGATCCTCTGCTCTTGTCAACTGGCACGACTTCAGTAGAGAGGATTGGAACGCTGCCATTACCAAAGAGAAGTTTAATGGGAGGAGGTGCTCCCCTCCGCACTAGAGGTGAAACTGAGAGCAAAGAACATGGACAATTCATTACACATTTACAGGGATTATATCGTCTGTAGTCTAGTTTCAGAACAGGGCACATGAGTCTGGTCTGGTAGCAAGGCAGGGCTTAACATTTAATACACCCTAAATGTGTAGCTAAAATGTGTATGTGCTGAACGCGTCCAATTAAAGATTAGTCCAAGTGATTCAAACCAACTGCGTTGGCCCCACTCTCCTGACCTCTGTGCATTTCTGCCCAACTGAATTGTATTATCACTCCTTCCCTGAAAGTGGCCTGCTTGTCCTTTTCCTATTACAGTTGGAATGGTCATGAACATTCTATGGCATCCTCCACAACTCAACAGATGTCCAGTGGGTCTTGATTGCAACTGTATATTTGATTTGATTCAAACCAACTGCGTTGGCCCCACTCTCCTGACCTCTGTGCATTTCTGCCCAACTGAATTGTATTATCACTCCTTCCCTGAAAGTGGCCTGCTTGTCCTTTTCCTATTACAGTTGGAATGGTCATGAACATTCTATGGCATCCTCCACAACTCAACAGATGTCCAGTGGGTCTTGATTGCAACTATATATTTGATTTTACTGATTGGTTTGAGGGAACTCCAGGGAGACCTCTTTACAGAGTCAAGACTTTTGTGTATGTTTGGGCCCAAGGCGCATGTGTTGGGGGTGGGGGACAGAATGGGATTTGTTCCAGTGTTGCAAATCAGCTGGGCCACACCTCTTTGTTGACAGAGGATGAGTGAATGCTCGAGTGCTCATCCCAAACTCACAGCCTGGGAAGGATCAGTTTGAAGCTGATTTCCTCCTCGGGGAAGGAATCAGTCATTCCTAAAGAGCATGACCTTGCATGTTCTGAATGAGCTCTGCCCCTGCGGATATATTCAAGGCCATGCTCCAGGAGGAGAATCCTCACTTTCTAGTACAAGTATCTTATTATGCTCCAGGAGGAGAATCCTCACTTTCTACAAGTATCTTATCCATATCCTTCTGTTGCTGCCAGATGTAGAAAACCCCTGGAGATCAAGAGCAGGGGGAAAACTTGGATCAGTTAGTGATGAACCTCCCAGGAGGGGGGGGAGGGGGAGAATTCCCTCTGTGCTACTTATCTCAAAGTGTAGGTGTCGCATGTTTTCTGGCATGAGAGGTTTTGATTTCTACATGGACTGTTTTCAGCTCACTTCAGTCTTCTCAGTTTGAGTTATGCTTCTTCTTCTTCTTCTTCAAGAGCAGGGGGAAAACTTGGATCAGTTAGTGATGAACCTCCCAGGAGGGGGGGGAGGGGGAGAATTCCCTCTGTGCTACTTATCTCAAAGTGTAGGTGTCGCATGTTTTCTGGCATGAGAGGTTTTGATGTCTACATGGACTGTTTTCAGCTCACTTCAGTCTTCTCAGTTTGAGTTATGCTTCTTCTTCTTCTCCCCCTTTCTTTCCTTCCTTCCTTCCTCCCCGCTTCCCCTCCTGTGTCCCACAGGGTCACCTCCATATCGCGCAGGTCCCACAAGGGGAGCAGGTCCAGATCACGCAAGACAGCGAGGTGAGCGACATGCAGGCTGCCCTGCTGGGCAGAATCAGACCCGTCCTTGCGGTGCCATGACTGTGGTTGATACCCCTGGCTAGCACACACCACTCGAGGGGACAAAAGGGAGGCTGAACGCAGGGCGCTGGGAGGCAAAGCTACACCCTCCAGTCTTGTGCTGGTTGAAAGAAATACAGGAATTCCCCCCCTCCCACCCCCGAGCAAGTTTCCACATCTTTAGCAGGATAAAGCGGATAAGCTGGTTCCCCTCCTTCCCTTGATTAGGGCAGATTCCTCAGGGCTTAACTGGGAACCCAGCAGGAGCATCTTTCTGGGATCGGTCTCTTCCTCTGTGCTTCACACCCAGGGGCTTCTCTGAAAGCAGCATGGTGGTCAGTGGCCGCGCTCGGGCTCTTTTGTAACCAAAAGAGTTATTTTGGTTACTAGAATGGCTCCCTTGTCAGCCTTGGGACTTAGTTTCCATAACAGAAAAGCTCCCGCGGTGAACAGAAGTGACTCCCTCAGTAGAGCAGATACGGGGGCCATATCTCAACCAGCTAACGTGCTGTGATGCTCTGCTGATTTTGGGCAGAGAAACGTATTAATTGTGGGGACGTCTGTGTGTTTGTAAATTGACACAAAGAAGTGAAAGGGCCAGCAGGGTCAGGAAGGGCGTCTATTAATCACCACGGTCTTCCTTGTCAGAGAAGGGAAGGCTGCCTTTGCGTGAGAGAGGAGAGAGAGAGAGAAAGCCAGAGGTGGAACAGTCTTTTGCAGAGCTTAGAGGGCTGGGTGGGGAACTGGGAGATCCAGGTTTTTGTGGCTGAACCGCGAAACCTCCTGGGTGAGCTTAGGCCAGATTCTCTCTCTCTCTTTCTCGCTTGGCCTTTGCTCGTGAATGGTGGTTTGAAACTGGGAAGATAGTGCTCTGCGTTTTGGGCAGGGGGGGCTACTACAGAATCAAGGCTGTGGGTGGGAGATCAGCAAGAATGAAAATTAGCATTTCAGAAATTGAAAACCTGATGGTAGAAAAGCGAGGTTTTCATTTAAAAACAAATCAATAAGAGAAGCAGAGCTACCTAGTTTTCAGTTTGAAGTTGTTTTCTGCTTTAAATATGGTCTGGCAATGATGTGAGCCATCCTGGATCCTTTTTAAGGAGAAAGGTGGGGTAAAAACATTTTAAATAAATAAAATGAGTCAATGGTTGGTTTTGAGGCACGTTAGCCATTCTCAGTGCTTACAAGGAAGGTCCAGGTATATTCTTTATGGTTAGTATTGGAATTGAGACTGGTATGAGAGCCGCTGCTGCTGCCGCCGCCGCTGCTACGAGGGTTGTAGGTTTTGTGGCGCTGACGGTGGCAGAGAGCCCTTCTAGCAAGGGGCGAGCTTTTGGGGGGATGCCCTGGCGGAGCCCTCACGGGAGAGCAGCGGTCAGTCGGTCTGCCTGTCCAGCTGCCTTGCTGCAGGTCCTTCTCTACGTCCACCTCATGTCTCCGTTTTTCTTTGTTTTAAATTTCGCAGGGCAACTTGCAGATCCACCAGGTCCACGTGGGACAAGACGGGCAGGTAGGGAAGCCTCCCCCGGAGCGTGACTTTTGCGCCTTCTCCCGGGTGCCCTGGCAAGGCCGGGCGGAAGGTCGCGTTTCCTACCGTAATGGATTTTGTGGGAACCCATTTGCAAGTGAAACTGTTGTGCAGGCCGAGGCTCTCCCTTTGGCCTCTTCGTTCACGTTTGCATTAAGCGCTTCCCAGAGTTTTGGCGCCCAGGTCACAAGGCGAAGTGAGAAAGATCTTCCTCTTCCCCTGATCGCTGGCTGTGAGTGCAGCCAGATGGGGTCAACAAACCTCGCAGGCCTGGGGACGCTCGATGTTAGGCTGATAACCGGCGTTTGCCTTAATCCTCCTCCTGAGAAGGGGAGGCCTGACACAGCTCCTTCGCATAGTGCTGTGACAAGGGCCCGTGCTTCCTGCTGCTCTCAGATGTGCGAGGGTCTTGTTGGGGTGGCTGATCGTGAGGCGCTCTGTGCATGTATCTTTTTACAGCCAGGGCAGCGCCTTGATACTGTGAAGTAGGTCCATGTCTATGCCCTGATCTTTTCCCCGGGTGTAAGTGCCTCTTTTTCTCAAGAGAACTTCCAGGGACTCGAGGAACCACAGAGTCAGGCCTGGATGCTCCCTGTGATGCTACCAAGGGCGGAGATTCTTCTGGGCAAAGGAGAACAGGCAACGCCCTGAGGTCAGGCGAGCCGGTCAGACCCCTGTGGTGGAGCGAGCCTCCCCGTTTCCTGCATCCCGGCCCTGGGACTTCAGCGTCCTGAGCCAAGGGTCACCCAGAGTAGGTCTCTCCCCACGGCTCCCTGCCCCCCCCGCCTGCCCTTTTGAGAGAGGGCTTTTAAAAATTTGGTCCTGGTAGTTGCATTGGATTTAGGTCTTGTTTTTCTGGCAGGATAGACCACGGAACCCACAAAGTCCTGCCAAAAAGAACTCTCTACCTCCACATGTGTTCTATTAGCTTGACGTTTCGTATTTCAGTGCACGTTTAATAGAAATACCAAACAGCAGAAATAATTATGCATTCTATTTTAACTAATGGAGTGTATTCTGGTCCTCAGAACAGTGGGAGCGCTTAGTTCTTGGCAAAGGGTGGCGGTCCTTCTCGGATTCCTTCTCTTTCTCCAACAGGGCCCTCCTCTGCCCTCTCGTCCCCTTGCTGCCCTCCTCCCTGTTCCCCTTCCTCCGCCGAGGAGCTTCAGGGTGCCAGAAGTGTGTGTCCTGCACAAGGCCCCTGGCGGCAAGGCAACAGGGCTTCGCGTGAGGAAGGGCAGGGCGGCAGCCTCATAGCAAACACCCAATTTCTTCTTTCATCCTGGCAGTGTCAGTCCCCCTCTCCTAATATTGAAAGCATTTTTAACTGGATACTAGAAAAATAGCAGCTGGCAAAGGACTTCAGATTTTCCATCCATATGTGTGTGTGTGTGTGTGTGTGTGTGTGTGTGTATGCACGCGCACACAGTATTTTTAAAGGTTTAGATTTGACGTTGAGAGTAACCCCCCCTTGAAATGGTTTAGTTCTTTTTTTTCTGGCTACACACATTTGGTTTCTTTACAGTTAGGTGAGCAAATTGAAGTCAATTCAGCAATATTTATTTTGGTAAATTATACCTTGATACTTAAACTTTTCTTGTTGTGTAGAAATGTTATGGTGTTTCTCCTGCTTTGGCATGCTGTAGCAAATGTGCCAAAGTTCTTTGGGGCCTGTAAGAAGGTGTGCACAGGTGCATGCCCACTACCGAAAAGGTAAGACGGGCCCCTCCTGTGGGCCACTTCCTTCCTTCCTTGCCTGTGGCCGGCAGAGGGCAGTGCCGGTGGGATCTTGGCCGCCTCCTTTCCTGAAGGTTGGGAGGGAAGCAGAGGGGATTTGGATCGCGTATCCTGTACATCTGCGGCGGGTCCCTTTTGTAAGCGGACACTGGTTCAAGGGATGCAGCCATGTGGAAGGTAGTGGGCCAAGGCTGGGACAGCTGCTGACAGAGGGACCTTCTGTCTTTTCTTGCCTCTGAAGCCCTTCGCTTCATTTCTGCAGCAGCTGCAGAGTGGGCTGGAGAAGGCGGTTTCCTCTCTCAGCACATCTGCTTTGAATAATCACTGCAGAGCAACAAACAAGATGGTTAGAAGAAAAACAACAAGACGGAAAACTAAAAAGCCTTACAGCTGGGAATTGGAATCTGTTCGCTTCCTTCCTTCCTTCCTTCCTTCCTTCCTTCCTTCCTTCCTTCCTACCTACCTACCTACCTACCTACCTACCTACCTACCTACCTACCTACCTACCTACCTACCTACCTGCCTGCCTACCTATATTCTTTCTTGCTCTCTCGCTCTCTCCCCCCCCTCCCAAGAGAAATTAGCATAGTGACTGGCAGTTTGTTGATACATTATTGTAAACAGCTCTTTCTGGATTACCCCTTGCTTTCAGGAATTAAATTTTTAATTTGAAGTGAGGAGCATTAAAGTGCAGCTTGTTGAGATCGGCACATGGCACTAGCATTTTTCCCCCTCGGCCTGCCCACGAGCCATTTTAGCACCCTTTTCTCTTCCCAATCTACGGAGCCGTCTTATTCCACCACTCTTGCGGTGACGGGTTTTCAGCCACCGGCCCCCTCTTGCCCCCGCGATGCAGGGGTTCTGCAGGGTTCCATCGGAGGTCCATTGCTCCGCCAGGGCAGGGTGGGCCTTTCACCAAATATTTGCACGGGAGGGTTCCTCTGAGCAGGGAAACGGGGGGGGCACCCTCTGCGCTCCCACCACCTCCCAGCGTCCCCTGAACTGGGCCTGCCCTCTTCTTGAAAGGTGCCAGTCCTGACCATAACTGGACTGCACGCTGAATAGATACGTAGTGCACAATGAAGACCCTATAGCTCCCGTTCCCTTAAGTAATTCTAGCTCCTTGTGAAGCTTTCTTTTAACCAATCAGTGAAATGTAAGTAAATTAGCCTGTCCTAAAATCTTGGCCTTCATGTTTACATCTCAAGTGCATGGTGATATAGGACAACTTAATAAGGGAACACGCTGCATGTCATTGCTCCCAGAAAAGGCTCCTTTCTGATCCTCACTGTTAATGTATCGGCATCACAGTCAGCTCACCCCACCCTCCCAAAAGACTTGTCCTCATGCTGCACCTCCTCTGGCTGGGAAATGCCCCCACCCTTTGGCTCATTCACCTAATCCATCATTGGATGCCCTGGGTCGGAGATTGGTTTTTAACTCTCTAATAAGCTGAGTGTGTTGGAAGAGAAGGCCGAAAGGCAGGATTGTGACCATCCGAGAGTTCGGAAGCGACTTCTTTTCAGCCTGGGTTCTCCTTCGCTGGAGGTTGTCAGACAGAGACGGGACATCCCTCGGTCGGGGGGCAGGCAAGCCTTTCCTCCCTTGGTGCCAGGGGAAGACCCTTGTGTTTCCTTCCAACTCCACCGTTCTGCCTCAAAATGGCATCTCGGCTTGGGTGTCAAGTTCCTCTCAGTCAGTCTACCAAGCTTGGGAGGGGGGGGGAGAGGGTTTGCATAGAAAA